TATTGCTAGTGTTACTTTCTCTTTATCGACTTCAGAAAAGATAAACAGCTTTTCTTTCCTTTTGCTATACGAGGAATCAGCTTTCATGTCAACTGTGCGCTGAGTTAAGCAATATTTTATGGCCTGCTTTATGGATAAGTCTGTTGTACATCTCTTACTGGTGCCAAAAGGTTGATGTTCAAGCCCAGGTCAAAAATCTAGATTTCCAACGCTGATTTTCTAGCCAGACATCAGCCCTATTCTTACCAAATAAACGGATCCATCGGCTTTCTTTTTTAGCCGTGACTAGCAGCATGGCCCAGCGTTGCCCGTGCTTGATTCAAAAATCGTACGTCTCATACAGCAATCGCTATCACTTGACTTAAAATATTTTTGCCCTTCCTTGCCTTTAAAGGAGTGCCCTTTGCCGTGTTGATGTTGCTACATGCCTTACTTCTTACCTATCTCACACTGCAAATTTTTTCGAAGCTCTATACTAAACATTAAATCTGTTACGAAAAAAGAACTAAACAAAATGAACACAAAACGATCAGCTTTAAAAAAAACTCGTAACTGGAAAAAACCGAATGAAAAAGAATGTTAACAACAAATAATTTTTTCACACCCAACCCAGTTCTGCGGAATCAGAATCAACATTGAGTTTAAGCAAGGAATGAGCCAATTGAGTAAAGCGCCATGCAGATTTAAATTTTTCCCACTTGTGATGAATGCAGCTATCGATTTTTTTTGCATGCTAGCATGCTAGTTAACATTCGTGTAAGTCAGCTGTTGGCTCTCATGCTGGCCAATAGAATCTTCATGCCTATTCGTGACAGCCAGCTATGGGCTCTCACTCTGGCCAGTAGAAAATGGCCGCAAACTACATGAAAACTGCCGTAGAAGCATGAAAAATCGATTATTTCCACTATCGATGGGAGTTGAGAAATGCAACGTCGGTCTTGGCCTTCCCGCTAACTTGGATCATGTGCATGTAAATTTTGGGGCAAATCCGTCGAAAATTGCGGCCGTGCATTCGTCACACACACACACACACACACACACACACACACACACACACACACACACACACACATCCTGCCTTTTATAGATAGAGATTCGCATACATCCAAACATGCACGACAGAAACTATTTCTGGTTTGTTTGTTTTTGTGCTCTAAGGATTTCTTTGTAACCAAAGAAAAGAATACAGAACTGTTACGTGATATCTGTACGGCAGCGAATATTAGACGATTTCCTCAAAGATGAAGAAGAGACTCGAGGCAACGGAGATGTGGTTCTACAGAAGGATGCTAAGGATATCATGGACCAAGCGTGTGAGCAACGATGAGATCTTAGATTGCAAACAAGGAGGAGGCTTATACTTAACATCAGGAAGAGTCAGCTGAAGTTCCTGGGACACATAATGAGGAAGGAGGGCCTGGAGAATCCGATACTCTCAGGTCGAATAGAGGGAAAGAGAGACAAGGGATAAACAACGCATGACATACCTGACGGGCTTAAGCAAGTGGATGACAGAACGTGGTCCGGGGGAGGTGGCAGAGGGAAGGAACTTGTTGAGAGCTGCAAGGGATAGAGGGAGGAGGTGGAGAGCCATGATCGACTAGCTTAGATGTGGCGCAATGCCGAAAGTATGGGGCACCAAGTGAGGATCGAATTCACTAATCAGTCTTAATTTTTCTAGCGAGACGAGCTTGCTAACCATTGCCCTCAGAATTCATATTAATGATTGTTATTGCGATATTTTATTAAAGATGTCAAGTAAATATTTAACGATGCGATATGGGATATGTTATTGTCATAAAATACATAATGAGCTTATTCAATCTTAACTGAAGAGTTAAGAATTAAGATTTATCAGTTGTTTCTCCCCCTCCAAACATTTCTTCAACTTTTACTTTCAAATTTAACTTCACAAACCATTCCCGACACATGCTTGTCACAGTCTTTAAGAAAAAAAGAAAGCTATGGAGAACAGTGTTCGTCTACGTCCTAAAGAGACATCGAATTAAAAGTTGAATTTCTCAATACCATCTTATTATAATTCTGTTTGTATCCACCTTAGTTATTGTGTTAGCACTACCGTTACGTCCTGTCAGTACCTCATGGACTATTCCGTTTTGACCCCCACTTCTACTATCAAGTTTTCCTTCATTTAAAAGTTTAACTTCACAAACCATTCCCAACACATGCTTGTCACAGACATTAAGAAAAAGGAAGCTATGGAGGTCCGTGTTCGTCTATGTCCTAAAGGGACAGAATTAAAAGTTAAATTTCTCCATACCATCTTATTATAATTCTGTTTGTCTCTCCCTTAGTTATTGAGTTAGCACGACCGTTATGTCCTGCCAGTACCTCATGGACTATTCCGTCTTGATCGCGTGGAAAGACAGGAAAAAAACATATCAGAGACGCTACTTGGTTTCATTGAGAAAACGAAAGAAAGAAAGAAGGGGGATAGAAGAGACTATAAGACTCTCATGTGTTTAACATCTCTCAGTAAAATGGAAAAGTTTTCAATTTCAAATTTTTCATTTGTACCCACTTCTTAAAATAACGACCAGCATTCATATTTATGATTGTTATTGCAATATTTTATTAAAGTTGTTAACTTCAAATATTTAACAATATTTATTTATATGACAGGGAAATTTCTACGGGTACTTTATTGTCTTAGAACACGCCATGATCTTATTCAATCGTTAACGGAAGAAGTAAGATTGGTCAGAAATTTCAAATAGGAAAACCGTGAAATGTTCCTGGTTTAAAACTAGTAACGATAATTCTTCAATTAAAAGAACCGAAATGAATTATGAAAGTATCTTTTGGAAAAGTCGGACGAGAATGTTTCAACACTTTCCTTATGTACTCTATCAAGCCAATATCTCAGTAAATAGCCTGACTTTGTAGATAACGACCCGAAAACGACCGTATTTTACGACATTTGAACACCGCCTTACATTTAATATTACAGTATTATGGATATCGGCTGGTACTTTACGGTGTCTGGGTGGATATAATCTTTTATTAAACTTTCCGAGATCTCATAATGAACGTTATCTTAACACTCTATCTTAAACAGATCTCTATAGTCTTTAATTAAGTCACGAAGTTACTGCTCCTAATAACGTTATTTTATGAATCGACTTTACTTATACGTACTATGCATGATACCCGACGTTGCGGGGGCAAAGACTCTTATTTCCTCTGATAGGTTACGCACTGTTTTTGAGGGATTTGCTTAAACTATAAAATAGTATTAGCGAAACTATTGTAATTAAAACTAATATTTGTCGGTATTGCCAGTAAGATGTTCTTGCTTAGTTGTACTCTACAGCGAGACACACACACACACACACACAAATATATATATATATATATATATATATATATATATATATATATATATATATATATATGTATAATAAAAAAGGCTTAAACACTAATATTCCATGGTCATAATTTACTCCATTGGAATCGTAAATACGATCCAATTCATCAGACCTACAAATTCAAAAAAAAAAGAAGCTCTGTTCCGGACATTAAGTTCTACCTGGATTCTCTTGAATTTATTTTTTATGCAAATATATATGTATGTGTATGTATGTATGCATATATATTTATATATTTTAGATATATGATTGCATATGTATGTGTATATTTACCACTAATATTTTCTATATCTATCTATCTATCTATCTATCTATCTATATATATATATATATATATATATATATATATATATATATATATATATATATATATAAAGTGGGCTCTGAGTTCAACACCGAGTGGTGATAGTCTTTTTTTTTGCGTGAGCGCAATCTTCAGGCCATGTGATGGCTCGACTATGTGTATAAGCTGGTCAATAGTGCATTATCGCTAGCAAGGTCTATTGTATTATCCTAACGTTTATTGGGTGGAGAGGCTGTTGAGTGGAAATAATTATGGATCCGAATGCGATTATTTTAGCTGTTGTGTTACCGTGGTGTTTTCTAACTATGCGTTTTAGCATGAAACAAACTGTCGCCACTCGAATCTTGCTGAAGAGCGCATAAACGGGACATCTGCTCAAATATGAATATCCACTAAAATAACGTTTAAAGTGATAAAATCTGATGGATTAGTAAAACAAAATACATTACTTCTTTAGAAATATATATATATATATATATATATATATATATATATATATTCTTCAGATGGTTGGAATGTCGAACTGAACCCTTTATTTCGCTCGCTGAGGTAGACTCTCATATGGAACTAGAACAGTCTACCCCAGCAAGCGAAATAAAGGGTTCAGTTCGACATTCCAACCACCTGAAGAAGGCCGAAGCGTACAACGGCCGAAACGTTGTGATAAATAATGCAACTAAGATGAAAAAATAGTCCGAATACTGTAAATAGTGTGAAACAACTAATATTGCCATTACGATTGTAAGTCTTCAAGTGATGTGGTTTCTGTTATTTGGTAATGTTTATTATTGTTCTGTAGCGTAGAATGTAAATGCGATATTAATCATTATCTAATGTTTTCTCAATTCCTCTTCTTTTATTGTTCTCGCTCTTTGATAATGTTTTTTCTCTTTCTTTTTCTTTCACACTTAGTAACTCCTTGTGTCTTAGTGGCTTTATTGTCTTGCTTAGCTAAAATGATTATAAAAAATACTTCTATTGGTTAAAAGCTATTTTTATTTTAGAACGTTTTCTTTTTGTAAATTTTTATTATTATTACTTTCGTTTATTATAATTTAATATTTCAACTTCGTCTTTTGTTTCATTTCTCTTTTTTTTTTTTTAAATATTTTTCTTTCTCCTTTCTTCCTTGATTTCGTTCTCTGATTTATTCTTTACCTATTTTTACTAGTATTTTTTGTCCCTATTTTTTTTATCCACTGAGTTATTGCTCTGTTACGATTTCTTTTATATAAACAGTCGTAGCTTTATGCGTAGTTGGGGTAGGGGTGGCTATATCTTTCTTCCAGACGCTTCTGTGTTTTCAGTTCTCAAGACTCTGTTGCGGGAGATGCTGTGAACGCTCCGGGAAACCTTCTGCGAGCGGTTATGATATCAATCACGCGATCATATCCATATGTAAATGCAATTATTTATCGGAACATGTTCTTTATCGAATAACTCAAAAGAAAATGAATCTTTAATTAATTTTCTTCGCTTGTCTTCAAATCAATTTTCATTCTTCATCGCTTTTTTTTTCTGGTTTTCTTGTCTCTCATAGTTTCTCAATCGTCTTGTTTCGTTTTTCTTATTACCTCTCTCTCTCTCTCTCTCTCTTTCTCTCTCTCTCTCTCTCTCCCTACATTCAACCTATTCTCACTCACCCGCGCTTCGCAAATCTCGATCTCCCCACATCTCTATCTCCTCTTCTTTCTTTCCGCGTATTTCTTTTTCTCTCTTTTTCCCATTTATTCTCATCATGTTTTCCTCTCCTTCTCTTCTTTTTGTTCATCTATTTTCATTACCACCTCCCCCCCTCTCTCTCTCTCTCCTCGCCTCTATTTCCATTACCCCTCTGTCCTTTATTTTAATCTTCTTTCTTTCATCCTCTTTCATCGCCCCTCTCACTTCTCTCCTCTTTTTCCGCCACCTCTTTTCTTTTTCATTTCATTTCTCATCTCCCCTTCTTCAATCCTCCTCTCTCTTTTCATACTCTCTCTCTCTCTCTCTCTCTTCTGTTCCGATTTTAATCTCATCTCGCTTTCTTTTCAGTTTTGATCCCCCTCTCTCTCTCTTCTCTCCTCCATCTGAATCCCGTCTCTCTTTCTTTTCTCCTCAATCTGATTCTCCTCTTTCTTTCCTTCATTTTCATCCCCCTCTCTTTCTTCTCTTCTCCATTTTTATCCCTTCTCTCTTTCTTTTCTCCCCAATCTGATTCTCCTCTTTCTTTCCTTCATTTTCATCCCCCTCTCTTTCTTCACTTCTCCATTTTTACTCCTTCTCTCTTTCTTTTCTCCTCAATCTGATTCTCCTCTTCCTTTCCTTCATTTTCATCCCCCTCTCTTTCTTCACTTCTCCATTTTTATCCCTTCTCTTTCTTTTCTCCTCATTCTGATTCTCCTCTTTCTTTCTTTCATTTTCATCCCCCTCTCTTTTTTCCATTCTTACCCCTTCTCTCTTTCTTCTCCATCTGAATCTCTTTCCTCTCTCTTCTCTCCTCCATTTATACTCCGTTCCCTCTTTCTTCTCCCCTCTATTTTAATCTCTCTCTTTCTTCCTTCTTACTTCATCCTATCTTGTCGAGTCGTATTCGTTTTATTTCCCAATTTTTCACATCACACGGATGCTCGCAAAAGTCACGGGTGCAATGTTAATTCATTCACGCCCTCCCCTTCTTATTTTCTCTTTACACCCTCCCAAACACACAGAGCCCTCGAAGAATCGTCTATGTCCATTATTGGGCAAATACCTAACCATTCCTTGAAATCATTCTCCCAGCGAATTCCTGAGTCAATTCTTCAAAAGGTAAGGGCTGAAGTTAGCAGCCCAAGGAATGATTCAAGTCACGAGCATTATATATCTCTTCAAAAGGAAAGATCAACAATCAAACGCACTAGACATATACACTCATGCTTAGCAACACGCACGCATCTTCATACTTGTATTCGTACGAAAGTAATATGCAAATACAATGATTTTGTAAAACGCAGTAACAGAGCATGCCCTGTCACTTCCAAAATGTCGAAACACCCTCATTTCCCCAGTGTTCCAACTGTAAAAAGAAAGTCTTATTGAGACAAGGTTTCCCCCACCCAAAGAAATGCTATTTTGTGGAACAAACTCCCGTGTAGGTGCTTTCATAAACACTCCAATTTTATCCTCTTTAAGGGTTACTCATCATCTTTCTTCTATATCCTTTCTTTCCTATCTACCATCGACTGTTTCATTTATCTTAAACGCCACGGATTATTTCTGTTAATTCACGCCAAATATTAATTCACCCCAAAATAAAAGGAATTTATATTTACTAAAATTCACACCAAATTTGCCCAGAGCGAAGCCCTTCCATTGCACTTCGTTTAGGTTGACATTTGCGATCGTTCAAAATGTGGGCGATTCGATGCGCTATTTCTAAGTGTGGGGTCTGCATCCGCGCTCACCACAATAAACAAGCCACTTTTTTTTTAATTGTAAGTACCTCGAATATAATCCACACTTACAAAATATGAATAACTGAATAACTGTCTGATTTTTGTTAATTTTTTCAGTCTGAGACTAAGAGTTGTTGTGAGGCAAGTTAAACTAATTTTGATTTAAAATTTATAATTTCAAAAAGAGTGCCAAAACGTTAATAAAAAAAAAACCCCCAAAACTTTCATTTAAATATTTATTTATATTATTTTAATCTATTTATTTATAATTTATATTAATATTGCTTTATAATTTCTTGGGCTGCATTAATATTTGCGATAAGGTGAATTAATAGAGAAGATCCAATGCCTCATTAATGATTAGAACTTCGATTGTAATCTATTTTGAATGGTAGTCAAGACTTGTAATGTGGAAAATTTAGTAGAAAGAATAAAGATTTACTTTCTCACCTCTTACATATATGCTTAGTACAATAAGTATACTTTTTTGTGCCTTCCTTGACGTATCTATCTATCTATCTCGATATGTTATCTATCTATCTATCTATCTATCTATCTATCTATCCATCTATCCATCTATCTATCTATCTATCTCGATATGTTATCTATCTATCTATCTATCTATCTATCTATCTATCTATCTATCTATCTATCTATCTATCTATCTATCTATCTATCTATCTCGGTATGTTTTCTATCTATCTATCTATCTATCCATCCATCTATCTATCCATCTATCCCGGTATGTTTTACCATCCATCCATCTATCCATCCATCTATCTATCCATCTATCCATCTATCTCCGGTATGTTTACTATCCATCTATCTATCCATCTATCTCGGTATGTTTTACTATCCATCTATCCATCTATCTCCGGTATGTTTACTATCCATCTATCTATCTCGGTATGTTTACTATCTATCCATCTATCTATCCCCGGTATGTTTACCATCTATCCATCTATCCCGGTATGTTTACTATCTATCCATCCATCTATCTATCCATCTATCCCATCCATCCATCCATCCATCCATCCATCTCCATCCCGGTATGTTTACTATCCATCCATCTATCCATCCATCCATCCATCTATCTTTACTATATCCATTTATCCATCTATCCATCCATCCATCTCAGTATGTTCCCAGCATCTATCTATCTATCTATCTATCTATCCATCCATCCATCCATCTATCTATCCCGGTATCTTTACTATCCATCCATCCATCCATCCATCTATCTCGGTATGTTTACTATCCATCTATCCATCTATCTATCTATCTTTCTATCTATCTATCCATCTATCCATCCATCTATCTATCTATCCCGGTATGTTTTATCTTTCCATCTATCTATCTATCTATCTATCCATCTTTATCTATCCATCCATCTATCTATCTATCTTTCTATCCATCCATCCATTCATCTCGGTATGTTTACCATCCATCCATCTATCTATCCATCCATCCATCTATCCCCGGTATGTTTACTATCTATCCATCTATCTATCTATCTATCTATCTATCCATCCATCCATCCCGGTATGTTTACTCCATCATATCCATCCATCCATCATATCTATCCATCTATCTCGGTATGTTTACTATCTATCATCTATCTATCTATCTATCCATCTATCTCGGTATGTTTACTATCTATCTATCTATCTATCTATCTCGGTGTGTTTACTATCTATCTATCTATCTATCTATCTATCTATCTCGGTATGTTTTCTATCTATCTATCTATCTATCTCGGTATGTTTTCTATCTATCTATCTATCTATCTCGGTATGTTTACTATCTATCATCTATCTATCTATCTCGGTATGTTTACTATCTATCTATCTATCTATCTATCTATCTAGGTATGTTTACTATCTTTCTATCTATCTATCTATCTAGGTATGTTTACTATCTATCTATCTATCTATCTATCTATCTATCTATCTATCTATCTATCTCGGTATGTTTACTATCTATCTATCTATCATGGTATGTTTATGTATGTATGTATTTATCCATCTATCTATTTTAGTATGTTTGTATGTACGTATCTATCTATCTATCTATCTATCTATTTCGATATGTTTATTATCTATCTGTCTATCTCGGTATGTCTATCTATCTATTTTATTTTTTGCGTATCTGCCTGGGCATTCGAGAAATCCTAGTAAAGAAAAGATTTCTCGAATCTGCAGGCCTATAGCCGAAATACATACTGATTAATAAGTCAAAAAGAGGCGACTATTTCAAATACGAAATACCCACTATAATAACTAAATATATCTTTGTGGATAATCGTACAATAACATTTGAAGTAATAAAAATGTCGTAAAGTCGAGGTACCAACGAGGAAAGTAATATTTATTTTAAATAATGCAAAAGCCAAAAGTGTGATGGACTGTCTCATCTTATACTTATCTAGCTACAATTGCTGACCCAAACACAGCACAATATTGCTTACACCAAAGCAACACATTCTTACTTAACATTTTTACTAGTACTCTTTTTTTTTTAGTTATGGCTCTTACCATGGTCTGTCTTCAACGCCATATATAGGCAGTTACTTTTTTTATACAAACATTATCATTTAATGCCAAGAGTAAAGCATGAGTCTCTAAACCTTTCTCAAAGTGGGCCAGATTTGATAAGGTGAATATGCATTAGGGAAAGTGCCAACCATTCTGTTTGGCATTCTTTGAACCATTAAAATTAAATGCAAATGAACTATCTTATGAAAATGTTATTGCAAATGGTATATTTCGATTTCTTCATATGGACGACAAATAAATTTAAACAGGTCTTACCAAAATCAATGTTATATTTGAAGCCCACATAAGATGAAATAAAATATGTCTGAAGAAATAGGACTTACAGTAAGCTATAGTATATACCAGGTTAATCTTAAACATTACGTATTATTGGTAAGTAATATTGTGTGTCAATTTTTTAGTTAAAAACATAAGAGCAACATAACATGAAAATGAAAAGTGTCCAAATATATTTAGAATTGATTTTGACCAAAACAAAAGAAATTTAAATCACTAAGATTTTAGAATTTATTCATCTTAGATGACCAAAACAAATAACTTGTCTGCACTATTGTGAAGAGAGATACTGAGATCTGAACTGCAGTATATAGGCCAGGTCTTGTTCAACGACAGCGATTTTAGAAATTGACTGGAAAAGTCCAAGATCACACCACCAGAGGGCGACCACCCAGTACTGCTGCGATCTTTTGGTAAAACATGAAATTGCATGTTGTATATTTGACACACTCTAATTGGTAATACTGGCTGGCCGTGATACATTCTATAATAGAGGATGGTGACCATATAAAATTTGACTGCGGGCCGTAATTGCACAAACCCCGGGCTGGATTTTGGACATGCTTGATGTAAAGACATGTTTCTGACAATTTGTGAAAATAATATGGTTATCCAAACTTTGAAGTCTAATATCGCAAAATTACAAAAAAAAAGGCGCAGATAGATCCTTTTTTTTAATTCCGAATGAGGAAATAACCGTGATTGATTCTAGCGAGAAGAAATTTTTTCACAGAACGTAGTGAACAGACTTTTCTAGTTGCTACTTAGCAGTTGATTCAATATAATCGTTCGATTTGACGTCAGTGGAAAACATGAGGCTATGAAGGAACAGCTAGTTACTATCTCGAAGGTTAGCTTCAGTTGATGGATGGCAAAGAAGGTTTTTTTTTTTTTAAGATGCGTAGAGAGCAGTTTGGTTTTAGGGATGTTACAGTTGCTCTAGTTTATGCTATAGATTGTACACCATTTTATATGTTATATGGTTATACTGTATTATTGTATGTTATATATTGTTATGTCTATCTTTTATGACGATGTAAACAATGTGTGCATAATGTTTGCATCTAATCTATTTATAGAATTCTGTTTTCCTTGCTCGCTCGCCGACCCCACCCACCCTGTTGACTGGCAGCTGAACTTGGCAAATTCTTCGTTTTTCACTTGATCCCGATGCCCATCTGAACTGACCTACATTCGTTTCTACTGCTATGGTTTTGTTTTCGCATTTTTCTACGGCTAGAGTTTTTTTGTTTTGTTTTTTTTGTTTCTCTTTCTCGGGCAAAGGTACACGAACTACCATGGCAACGAGCACGTACGCCATACAAAATCCACACTTTAAAATTTATAGGTACCTTCACAGATTCGCGATACCTAAGGTTGAAAAATGAATTTTTAAAAAAGAAAAATCTTTCTTGAGGCGTTTATTTTAATTCTAATTCCAAGGTAATATATTAAATTTAATATATCCAATAAGTAAAATACTTTGCTCTATTTCAAAACTAATTTAAATTGATTGAAAGGAGTCTTTTTTTTTTTCTTTTTGCTAAAAAATCTGATTTCAGCGCCATGTCAGCGCGCGATTATGGGTCTTCCAAAAATAAAATATACTTTTCTAAAACTTTATTTAAGCAATATCTGCTGATTTAAAGTATAATTAATCTGATTTGAAACAAATATTATTTACTTTAAATATTTTATATTTAAATATCCCAGAAATGCATTTTTCACACGGCGGTATCTGTTTCTGTCTATATTTCTGAGATGAGGTATTATGTACACTATTTACATTATTCGGACTATTTTCCTCATCTTTGTCGCCATATTTATTACAACGTTTCGGCCGTTGTGCGCTTCGGCCTTCTTCGGGTAGTTGGAATGTCGAACTGAACCCTTTATTTCGTTCACTGGGGTAGACTGTTCTAGTTCCACGTGCCATGTTTAGTAGATGTCAGTTATCACTATCAGTTATCTCCTGTTAATTTCTCTCTGGTAGTTCTCCACTGCCTTAGCCGGATATTGAACTCACACTCTTTGGGTCCTGTCACTGGATCTAACTAACGCCTTTATTCACTGTGCCATATGTCCTTGAGGTATCTGTTTATGTTAATCTCATTTTTTCTAGGGAGGTAACTTTAGCTGTAAAAAAATAATTGAAGAATATAATGTGAACGCCTTTTTTACATAATTTTTAAGTACTCAGTAATTTTAAAAATCTTGGGAAATATTTTCCGTAATATAATGTTTTATTGAATTTTATATACACACACAATAAAAACAATTACTCAATCAAAAACTCAAATCCTCGTTGATTTGTTTTTCGAACGCGGTGCTCAGTATCCTAAGGATAAAGCCTTTTTTTGTGTGATTTCAGCGTCTGATGATCGGTTCTATCGAAACACGCACATATTATATTATATACTCTGTTTTACTGCGAAACATTTAGTTGTGGTCATGATTTTTTAACAATAAATTTCACCCTGTACAATAAACTTAACCAATCAATAAATCAAACGTTCCTTTACATACATACATATACAACTTTGCTTCAACGAGTCGGTTAAGGCACGTCGGATTTAACGACGGTTTCCCTCTGCCTAGAGGAACGCAAGTTCGAATCCTACCAGGGTGCTGTTTAATTATCTTTGATGCATATTCAGACCGGAAGACTAAATATAAATAAATGTAACGTCTACTTGAATAAGAGTATCCACTAAAAATAACGTTTAAAGTCATAATAACAATTGACACTATTTACATTGTTCGGACTGTTGTCCCCATCTTTGTTGTCATATTCACGGCGTTTCGACCATTATAGCCTTCTTCAGGTGATTGGAATTTCGAACCGAACACTTTACTTCATCCACTGGGGTAGATTGTTCTAGTTCCACGTGCCATGCCACTTCTGGATAGTAACTTCCCGTAGTAACTGAACTCTCCAACGTTTTTTGTTCACCTCTGTTGTGGTCAGGTTTTGATCTCTCAACTCTTTGGGCCAATTCACTGGATTACTTCAACCAGCGCTTCTATCCACTGGGCTATGTGGACGAAATAAATTGAAATTCCAGTCACCTGACGAAGTCCGGAGCGTACAACGGCAGAAACGTCGTGAATATGTCGACAAAGATGAGGACAACTGTACAAATAATGTAAATAGTTACCATTCCTAATCTTAGAAGTAGAGACTGATAATAACCAATAATGGTAATTCTTTAGCAAAACGGTGATATATAGCTAAAAGCTTGCTTTATCAAACGGTGTTATTGAGCTCCATGCACCTGTGAAAATATGTCTGAGTCATTCATTTCGCAACTTCTGTAATATTCATCCTCTTATGTGTGTATGTTTGGATGTGTTTACGCGTCTTTATACCACTATCACTTAATGGTGCGGACGCAGACAGATTCTTGTTAACTCCTAAGAAATACTAGCAAATCTGGTGCTGCCAATTTGGGCAAACATTGATTAGTTTTGGAGCCAATCAAATCCAGTCCTCTAGTCTACCGCCAAGCTCCTTGACTTAAGCAAGCCACTGACAGAAAGAAACTCCCGTGGTTGTTCTCAATCAACTCTCTCTTCTTATTCATTCGGCAATCAACTCACATGATTTCCGTCCGCCATTTTTGGTTATCTTTTGCTTTTTTTGTTTACTTGCTTCATATCGGTTTAGCTACTATTGTATCCTTTATTATATATATATATATATATATATATATATATATATATATATATATATATATAGGTAAAAATGAGGACAAATGGTGTATAATTCCAATGTACGTAACATTTAATTTAAAGAGGGCTCAATACAGAGTACAGCGAAATATTATTTATTTTAGGTTATTAAAACAAAAACATATTAAAAATTGATACACAATTACAATAATGTTTCGATACTACAAATGTGTCTCCTCGGGCGATGATAAACTACTGGCTGAGTGAACGATTAATTATATATATATATATATATATGAAATGTTGTCCCCATCTTTGTTGTCATATTCACGACGTTTCGGCCATTATACGCTCTAGCCTTCTTCAGGTGATTGGAATTTCGAACCGAACACTTTATTTCATCCACCGGGGTAGATTCTTCTAGTTTCACGTGCCATGCCACTTCTGGATAGTAAGGAATAAATATTAAGAAGCCAGTGAACACCAGACCTGGCTTCTTTAATATTCTTTCTAGCAAGATTAATGCTCGACAAACGTACATATAAGTTTTAGGTCAAAATAAAATTCTTTTCGTTTTTCATTCAAAATACTCAAATTTTAGGAATACGTTTTCACAACATCGCCCACGTGACGACGACGTGATCATATTTAAACGGAACTCTGATCTTATAAAAGATTTCAGTTATCTGTTTGGATTGGTATTGCTTTTATGTCCATCGTCTTTTTCATGCTGAATTGTGTATGGTCTATGTTAATTATGTTTTATGAATATGTCCTGAAGATGGTCTATTAGACCGAAACGTCCGACGTCGACATTAAACATTAAAACAGCATAATCGCATATTAGGATTTTTGTTTGTTTTTCAGTATATTTTCTTCATATATGTATATATGAAATTAATCGTATAATATATATACCATATATATATATATATATATATATAATTGATCGTATAATATATATATATAGATATGAAATTAATCGTATAATATATATATATATATATATATATATATGAATTAATCGTATAAGATATATATATATATATATAAATTAATCGTATAATATATATATATATATATATATATATATATATGAAATTAATCGTATAAGATATATATATATATATATGAAATTAATCGTATAAGATATATATATATATATATATATATATATGAAATTAATCGTATAAGATATATATATATATATATATATATATTTAATCGTATAATATATATATATATATATATATATGAAATTAATCGTATAAGATATATATATATATATATATATATATATAAATTAATCGTATATATATATATATATATATATATATATATATGAATATTAATCATATAAGATATATATATATATATATATGAAATTAATCGTATAAGATATATATATATATGAAATTAATCGTATAAGATATATATATATATATATGAAATTAATCGTATAAGATATATATATATATATATATGAAATTAATCGTATAAGATATATATATATATATATATGAAATTAATCGTATAAGATATATATATATATATATATGAAATTAATCGTATAAGATATATATATATATATATATATAAATTATATATATATATGATATATATATATATATATATGAAATTAATCGTATAAGATATATATATATATATATATGAAATATAATCGTATAAGATATATATATATATGAAATTAATCGAAATTATATATATATAGATATATATATATATATATATATATATAAACAAACAACGCTTATGTAGTAAAATATGTTAATCCAACAAATTTTATTACGTTATTTTTAGCGGATACCCATATTTGAATAGACGCTCCGTTTTTATTTATTAAATTGTATATTTATTTATTTTCGCTTAAGATTTCTCTAATATCCAGGAAGGTAACCTTTAAAGAAATTTGCGTTTAAGGGCAACATTCGTTTTTGGTAGTTTGGTTGAGACTCTACATGGCCAATTTGGTCTAAAGGACGTTGAATCTAACGGCGGTTAATCCTGCTAAGGTAAGAGGTCGCAAGTTCGTATCCTAACCGAGGGCTCATCTTTTCTTAAATAAAATTTCTCTAATAGGCCTGTAGAAAAAATAAATATATGTTTTGTCGAATAAATAATCGTAGTATCTACTCAAATATGAGTATCCATTAAGTATTGTTTAATTGATAAAATCAGTTGGATTAATTAAAAAAGATCCATTACTTCTTTAGAAATTGCTTTGTTTACGTTAGGATACGAAACTGAATATGTATAATGTTTATAAACTTCTTTCTGAAAGCTTTTGTATTCTTCTTGAATCATGTCTCCTCTTTTGCCTTCAAAATTCGGTGTCTGTTTGAGCTAACATCTCAACATCATCGGGAATTCGATATGCACTCACTACTATACAACGTCCATTAACCAAAAAAAGTCACAACAATATCTACAAAGACAATATTAATAAAAATAATGACAAAAAGGGAAATTTTTTCGGCCAACGAGTTTTGTTCCTTGAGGAACTTTATCAAGGCAACGTTTCTCAAGGAATGAAACGAGTTGGCTGAAAAGCTTTTACTTCTTGTTATTTCTTATATATCTGAAAGAGAGACAGACTTGAACGCAAACTGCGAATGGTTATAGGCGAAAATATAACTTCACTTCCCGAGCTAGTGAAAGTTGTTCACGTATAGATGCCTACCTTACTCTTCGCGTGCATTTTACTCGCCGCTTCCGTAATGAATCAAGGACGCCAGAGAAGTGTATTGATCGTTGCATGCAGGAGAGAAACGTCAATTCGGCTGCCGTCGGCAACGGGCGGCCGAGTAGTTTGCGTTCATATTTGAGCCGATATTATCTCTTGGGATCAATTCATCGCCTGGACTTCTTCCTTTTCCCTTTCAATATTTTTCAACGTATGTCCTTTCCCCTGTTTTTATTTTGTCGCTATTACCTTATCTTTCTCACTAATTGTATCTCCATCATTTTTATGCCTTTCTTATCTCTCTCTCTCTCTCTCTCTTTTAATCTTTCTCTAGTCCCCCATCTCCCCCCACCTCTCTCTCTCTCTCTCTCATCAAATAGTAAATAA